GGCAAGAAATTCAAATGATAGTTTTAACTTAATTATCCTTAAACTTGTCCGCATGTCTGGACAAGTTCATTTCTCTGTACGTGCCTCTGTACGAGGCAAAGAGATTTAAATGATAGCTTTTAACTTAATTATCCTTAAACTTGTCCGCACGTCTGGACAAGTTCATTTCTCTGTACGTTATTAGGATTCGAACTAAGACTCTCAATTTCTTTGACCATCCCACAAACCACCACTCTGTAGCCCATTGGTTGATTGTGAATAGAAATGAAGGAGTTATAAACAGTTGCTTGATGTTGCATATCATCTGTTATTCGCTGTTAGAACGTTGAAGCAGGCATGCACAATCTGATCTGAATTTATAGTCTACCTACAGTATGTTTACTCGCTTGCAATGCTTCGCGTAGTGTATTGTTATATATACGCTGTGCATAATATAAAGTATTACTAATACTTGACCATGTTAAATTATACAATGTTCCACATAGTTTATGACAGTTGCATGTTCCACATAGTTTTGAATGTTCCACATATTTTAGAATGTTCCACATAGTTTTAAATGTTCCACATAGTTTTGAATATTCCACATAGTTTTGAATCCTGATTAGGGAATATGACACAATATTTTGCCTATCAACACTTTTATGAATTCTCTATCTTCACACATAGCTTTAATCTATCCGATCCTATGTTCCACATACTTTACGGTGGTGATATGTTCCACATAGTTTTGAATCTTTCTATCCAAATCTATGCTACATGTTCCACATAGTTTTAAATTTAGATTAGGGATTATCGTACAATATTCACCCAAAATTTGCCTATTTTAATTTTCATCAAATCCTATCTCCCCACTTAGGTTAGGGATTATCGCACAATATTCACCCAAAATTTACCTAACTTAATTCCGATCAAATCCCTATCTAGTGTCCGATTATAACATGTTCCACACATGTAACCCGTAATTTTAATATTTGCCCTCATATAACAGTCGAAAACGGCTAAGATAAACCGGATAAACGAACTTAGTCTATACAGCAATATAGTGTTATTATTTTCAAGTGTACGCATATATAACCCTACACAGACTATGTTGCGTAACTACATCCCACGTAGAATATGCTAATTATGTTCAACACAGATTGTCGCAATGTTCCACATACTTAGTGAAGAATGTTCCACATAAATTATCAACAGATTAAGCAATATCGCCCAACCATAACCCAAAATTTGCCTACTTGGTTTGTACAAACGACCTATCTAACAGATTAGGCAATATCGTACTAGCTTAACCAAAAAATTTACCTGCTTATTTTTGATCAAAACCCTATCAAGTGTTCCATTTCTAAATGTTCCACATAATTTATAATGTATGTTCCACATAGATTATAAACTTTTGAAATTACACATAAACATTCCACATCCATCCGAATCTCGTATCTTGCGTGTTCCACACAGTTTATGATTCTAAATGTTCCACATAGTTTATGACTCTAAATGTTCCACATAGTTTCATAATTATTTATGTTCCACATAGTTTTTACTCCTAGCTCTAATATTAGGGAATATCGCACAATATTCACATAAAATTTACCTATCATAATTGTCATCAATTCCCTATCATCACACATAGATTAGGGAATATCACACAATCTTTGCATCAAATTTGCCTACTGTAATTCCGATCAAATCCCTATCTTAATAGATTAGGGATTATCGCATAATCATGACACCAAATTTACCTACCTTAATTCCGAGCAAATCCCTATCTAGTGTTCGATTGCAACATGTTCCACATAGTTCAACACAAATTCATAATTTGCCCTCATATAACCAGTCGAAAACAGCTAAGATAAACCGGATAAACGAACTTAGTCTATGCAGCAATATAGTATTTTTATTTTTGGTATTTATTTGGAAAAGATTTACACCACTTCCACAATTATTTCAAAAGTATATTTTGATATAATTGCGCAATAATAATTATTATAACTTATGATAGATAGAGAAGACCTGGACCAATCGCGAATCGCGCATACATTATTGCACAAATATATATAGAAAATTTCAGAGTCGTGACGATATATATATTTCTTTGCGCTCGCGCGGCGTATATATCCGATTTTTAGTGTTTCATTTTTTATTTCCTTTTATTATCTTTTTGTTATTATTTTTCACGGGGGTCCAGGTCTTCTCTATCTTATTGACTATGCTGATTATTGCCTACCTATAGTTTATTTCACAAGTTTATAATATTATTCGAGTTATACTTGTATTTTGTGTATTTTTTACATTGATTTATACTAGATGTCGTGTCGACTTCTGCTAGTGTTATGTTAAGCTATGAGTTAGTATAAAGGCAATACTTATATAAACTTCTGCTACAAATAGATATCTCAAAATCAGACAATCCAGGAAACGAGTACTACTGCTCTCGTACAGTCTTCCAATCATGATCTAAGCTATATATATTGGCTATGCTGATTATTGCCTACCTATAGTTTATTTCACAAGTTTATAATATTATTCGAGTTATACTTGTATTTTGTGCATTTTTTGTATGGATTTATACGAGGCGTCGCGTCGACTTCTGCTAGTATTATTCTAAGCTATGAGTTAGTATAAGGGCAATACTTATGTAAACTTCTGCTACAAATAGATATCTCAAAATCAGACAATCCAGGAAACGAGTACTACTGCTCTCGTACAGTCTTACAATCATGATCCAAGCTAAGCTGTAAACCTCTGCTACAAATAGATGCCTCAAAATCAGACAATCCAGGAAGCGAGTACTACTGCTCTCGTACAGTCTTATAATCATGATCCAAGCTATATGTATTAACTATGCTGATTATTGCCTACCTATAGTTTATTTCACAAGTTTATAATATTATTCGAGTTATAATTGTATTTTGTGTATTTTTTGCATTGATTTATACTAGACGTTGCGTCGACTTCTGCCAGTGTTATTCTAAGCTATGAGTTAGTATAAGGGCAATACTTATGTAAACTTCTGCTACAAATAGATATCTCAAAATCAGATAATCCAGGAAACGAGTCTTTCTGCTCTCGTACAGTCTTATAATCATGATCCAAGCTATATGTATTGAATATGCTGATTATTGCCTACCTATAGTTTATTTCACAAGTTTATAATATTATTCGAATTATACTTGTATTTTGTGTATTTTTTGCATTGATTTATACTAGACGTTGCGTTGACTTTTGCTAGTGTTATGCTAAGCTATAAGTTAGTATAAGGGCAATACTTATGTAAACTTCTGCTACAAATAAATATCTTCAAAATCAGACAATCCAGGAAACGAGTACTACTGCTCTCGTACAGTCTTACAATCATGATCCAAGCTATATTTGGGGTTGCGCTACAATGATATAGAAAAATAATTAATGATCGTCGTTTGGTTAAGGATGTATCGAATTTTATAGATTTAGCAGCATTCTTAACTGAAATAGACCTGAGATATCGATTGAACGTTAAAGACAGCTATTTTGCAGGTTTTCGCTGATTTATTACAACAGTCATTCGTATAGTTATCCAAATTTGGCAAATACATTGAGAAGAGCATACAAATCTATTTTATTCCATCCCAGCTCTTGGTTTTTCTTCAAAACTAAAAATATGAATAATCAGTCTACTAAGATTATTCCTGATGAAGTCGAAACTCTTCACAAACAGGGTCAGAAATATCAAAATTATCGCTGTTACAAGTCAGCGCTTTATTATTATGAAAAAGTGATTACTCAAATAGAATCGATACCCCAAGGTAACTATGATGTTCATCAACTTAAATATCATGTTTATCTGGAAATGGCTGATTGTTATAGAGAATATAAACGGTTAAAAGCCCCAAAATGGGTTAGTGAAGCAGAGAAATTAGCTAAACAACTACAAGACGAAGCGAAGACTGCAATGTACTTGGATAGGCGGAGTAACATTAAACGACTTGATGGTGATTGTAAAGGCGCCTTGAAAGGTTTTAAAGATTCTCTTGATTTGAAATTAAAATCGTCAAGAGGCGAAAATATCGATGTTAGTGACTCCTGCAATAACATTGGCGTTATGTACACTAATCTAGGCAAGTACCGTGAGGCTTTAGGCACGTATAAAAAATCATTGAAGAAGCGATCGAGAATTAAAGGCGAGAATGATGCAGGTGTTGCTACATTATATAACAACATTGGTGGTGTCTATTATAACCAAGACAAGTATGATAAAGCTCTATTAATGCTTAAGAAATCACTCTATGCTAGCTGGACAACATTTGGTAAAAATCATCCGAGTATTGCTGCGACATATAACAACATTGCAAGTGTCTATCATAATCAAGGCAAGCATGATGACGCTCTATTAAAGTATAACATATCACTTAAGATTATACAAGAACAACTTGGTGACAATCATCCGAATGCTGCTAAGTTATATGACAACATTGGGGGTGTTTATGATAATCAAGGCAAGTATGACGACGCTGTATCCATGTATAAGAAATCGCTCAAGATTCGGCTAGCAACAACTGGTAATAACCATCCGAGTACTACGCAATCCTACCGAAATATAGCAACAATCTATCGTAAGCAGTCTAACTACACTCAAGCTATCGAATTCTATCAAAAATCATTCGATAGTTTATGCTACCTCTACGGAGAAAATCATCCTCAAGTCGTCAAAGATAAACAAATACTTGACCAATGTCGACTACTTAAAAGCAAGGCTAATACCTCATTATGACAAGACTGCAGTAAGTCTGAATAGAATAGAATAACGATGACTTTACCCCTATTGCAAGTGATTAATACTATCCTCTTGTCCTCTTGCATAGTAACTTAATCGTTCAATATCGATTACAAACTAGTCATGATATAAATGCACACGATCAAATCATTTTTAACATTTCCTCTATAATTTTTAATATAGCATAGATTAATAAGCGCATGACTAACCCTAACGTCCTAAAATACTCAATGTAAATCTTTACCAGTAACTGAACAGTCTATTTTCATCCGGTACAACGATTTGAACGAAATAGATAGAATTAAGTTTAAATTTACTTTGTTAATCGATTCTTAATAAGAAATAAGATAATGAAGTGTTAGCGTACACAACTTGGCATGGTTTTCCTTGAATAGCTCTATCTCGCAATAAGGTTGGAAATACAATAAGGCATCCAATTATAATCACAACTAACAAATCAAATTCATTGAAATGCTTAGGCACTTTCCTATCGATATCATCGATGTAGTCAATAAACTAGTCAAAATGAATTATATTACAGTATATACTAACATACAAGCGAAACTATAAATATTTTCATTTTGAAATTATCGTGCCCTCTTTATTTTACCCCGTATTTTAAGCAGTAGGAAAGCCATACATTTTAAGGGATTACTGTACATTGTACACTAGCATATTGAAATACATTACAAGATAAACAATTTGCTTTTGATAATCATTTATCATTTCAAAAATAATATTTATACAGGTAAGAGAGAATCATTTCAGTAACTTTTCACGGCAGTTTCGTTTACTATCATAAGTACATTGCCCTAATGAATACAATACATCTAAGCAATCAGAGATCATTGGTGGCAATTGATATAACACTTAACGCAGCAAAATAATTTAAATCTTCTCAAGCAATAAAGTCAACAGTTTTGCGTAAAATATTTCAAAACATAGTTTGTCCAGTTGAATCACCATTGATTTAGTTTTCAATTTACAGCTACAAAGTTAAAAGCTGCCAATTAATTATTCTTCAACAAAATCGATGATGAGTTGTTCCTTAATCTTCACATTAAAGTTCCTGTAGTAATCAAGGTGAATTACATTCATGAAATAAATTGCATTCTTCTGCAGCCTATGTAAAAAAAATAAGCAGCTTACCAAAGAGGCTTGTGCTATTGCTTTACTTGAAATTCTCTGATTAATAATAATATAAGCGGAGCTCTTGATGGAATTAGCAGAAGCGATAATAAATAAGCAAAGTGCTTTAAATTCATTAGTCAAGACAAGATTAGCACTTCCATTGACAAGACAAATAACTTTCCATTAATTTCTTTTTGTACTTCAATATTATGTATATCATTAACATAAAAACAAACCTGTGCAGTCGTAGTTCTTTATTATTAAAGCAAATAACTTGTACGAAATGTTACGCGTTGTTAGCATAGTAGACAGCAGTTATTTAAATAAAATTAGTACTAATGTAATATTGTACACAATTAAAGTTCTCTCTAACAACCGCATTATCTAATTATTTTGGTGTATTATGTTTATTTTGATAATATATTCACGCTTTCTTTATTTGTAGCTGAAGAATAAGTACAACAGCATTTGAAGTAGTGGTAGTCAATGTTAGAGTAATTTTATTTATAGACAATGTAGGAAATGTTAATTGCGTAGCAGCCAACTCCGCTTACTTGATCGATCATTTCTTTCAAAACAATGTTAGAAAACTAACAATTCATTACATAGCGCAAAGATAAAGTCTTTTTGAATTGATATTGTAATAAATTAAAGCACAGTAGCGCTTAAGTAGAGAT